AAACACTGGGGGTACACCGAACAGCTGTTTCGTCCTAGTTTGGAACTCTTTGAACCCCCCCCCCAGTGGTTGCGTACTACTGAATAGTCCCAAACCAGATTGTCCAGTACTCTTAGGTTTTCTAATGGTTCTCAAATAAGTGTCCGTTCACAATGAAATGCCTGTCAACCAACAGCTGAATATGGGAATCGGTTATTTCTTTTCCTGGCCTTATATACCAATGTAGTATTCAAGCAATTGTCTATTTTGAACTCAACTACCTGAAAGAGATTTCCCATGTATCAGGCTATGAGCCACACTAATTGCCTAAGGGGGTTGACAGGATACCAGCTAGTTACACACACCCAGGCACACACTGAAGTGTGGTGGAACTGGATTCGGAACTAGGATCTTAGTGTCTGAAAGTCGAGTGCCTTGGCCAATAAAAGCTACATCGCCAAGTTATTATTATTTTATCAGGGGAGAGTATACTACACTGAAAAGTAGCACTACGCTGAAACCTACTTCCTCAACTAAAAGACGTGTCTATTGAAGTTAAAAAAGATCGTAAAATTGTTCTTGTCACAAACATTTTTGTCTAGCAAAGGCCATATTATCTGACTGTGTGTTGTATTAAAAGTCGATGGGGCGGCGGGGGGCGGGTTAATCACTTAAAATCATCAAGTGGATTACAGAAACTTAATTTTTAAACATTAATAATAATAATGATAATAGCTTTATTCCAAACAGTATTTGTGGTACAGGTATGGAATTTTCAGCGTGCATTACAATATTGCATCTAATTACCTCATAAATTTTATAAGATTTTAAAAATAAAAGGCAACAACAACAAAAAGAAAGAAGGAAAATAAAAGAAATTTAAAAAAACAACAGCATTGCATTCACATATTTAAACAATGCACCACAGGATATGAAATATAAAATTAGTGTGTAATAGAATATGTGAGCAACAATATAATAGTAACAAAGAAAGGAGAACAAAATCTAATGGGAACTATTTGTTAGAGTGCCGTAGTAAGGTGATCGTGTCATGCCTAACAGTTTTCTCATCACATAACAGCTCTGCCAGATAAGGTATTGTGGAGTTTTTATACTTGGTAGTCCTGGCATATAGCCTCCTATGGTTGCTTCTAGTTCTACCAGATGAAATGCAAGGAGAGAGCTGCGTATAGAGAGGGTGTTCGAGGTCAGACAATATAGAATTCACTAGTTTCTTACATGACATTATGTCTATCCACAATGGTGTTAACCAGTTGGTTTAACGAAATCCCACTTCCCCTACTAACAGCTTTTAGTGCCCTTCTCAGTAAAGCAAAATCTTTCTTAAGTAGTCCAGGAAAGATTAATGAGGAGCAGTAAAGAGGGATGGTTAGAATACAAGAATTGACAAACTGAGAAAGCAAAGACTGCTTTATACCAGACTGCCTTAACTTCCTAACGTAGAACGTTAAGCGAAACATCTTTCTAGTAACTAGCAAGATGTGAGAGGACCAGGAAAGATCGGAGGAAATACTCAGTCCAAGGTACTTGACATTAGATTAGTTTCAACCTCTATGCCATCAATGATAGTGGGACCATGTGAGCTACCTAGTTGTTGTAGGTCACGTTTTCGTCTGAAAGTGAAATTTACTACCTGACATTTAGACGGATTCAGCTTAAGACCGTTTGAAGAGGACCACTGACTAATTTCCGAGAGAAAGTTATTTGGAACAGTCTGACTGAGAGTTGACAGGCATGGAGACAGAGAGGTCATCAGCATACTTGACAAAATTTGCTACATCAGAATGGAGCAAGTCATGTAAGAAAAAAGAAAACAGAAAAGGAGAAAGAACAGCTCCTTGAGGAACACCAGCTAAAGTAAGTGAGGTAGTAGAGGACTTTCCATTGTAGACAGTGTACTGCTTCCTATCATTTGTACATTTAGAGAATAGGAGGATGAATTCAGTGAAGAAATATATTCCTTTTCAATTCGTCTCACATCAACAGCTCTACATTAGTATATATGTTGACGGATCGATATCAGTTAGTGAACTATTGAAAACCCCAATCTACTGCTGAAGAAATTTAACTGTTGCTATCCAGCAATAAAATTGACTCTTGAAATGGAAAACGAATCAAAAATTCCGTTTCTTGATGTGGAACTAACAAGAAGAACTGATGGGAGCCTAAGAAGATCGATCCATAGAAAACCTACTTGGAATAGTCAACTAACAAGCTTCTATAGCTGGGTACCCATTCAACAAAAGCGAAATTTAATTAAATCACTTGCCACCCGCATCCTACGCATCTGCAATCTCGACGCTCTGGAAACAGAATTAGATATTCTAAGAGAAATTTTCATCGAAAATGGATACCCAATGAGATTCATTGACAAAAATATCAAACCAAGAATTCGGAGAAACGAAACTTTACTTGCGCCAAAAAAGAAACTCTACATGAACCTGGATTTCAATGGAGATTTAGCAAGCGATATTCTCAAGAGAAGGATCACATCATCTCTGAGAAGAACATTCTTTGCGGCAACGCTAAGAATAGTGTTCTCCAGTCGCCCACTGATCTGCAGAAGCCTCAAGGACAAGATCCCACATCTGACCACTTTTATGTGCATATATCAGTTCACCTGCTGCTGTGGAGCCAGGTACATCGGTCGTTCGACGCGCACCCTGTCCAAGAGGATTCAAAAACACTATCCAGCATGGTTGCGAAAGGGCAATAGTGGTGCAATAAGGAGTGCGATAATTGAACATCTGGTTAACAATGATCATTCCATTTCAACAAACGCCTCCTTTAAAGTAATCTACAGAGTCAAGAACAACCTATCAAAGGCAATACGGTTTCGTCTTCTTTGTATCGCTGAAGCTCTGGCCATTCACATAGAAAAACCGGAGCTGTGCATACAAAAGAGGATTACTCAACCACTTCTACTGTCTTGGTAACAACTTTTTTGATTTGATTTTTTGATTTTGATAACTTAATTTTGTTTCTTTGCCTGTTCTTTAATTGCTTATAATTCTTGCATTCATTTAGAACTCTTACGTAATTTCGCATTATCTACTTTGTTCCTATGTGCATCCTGAGTAAAACTCACTCATCAAACTATTCATATTATTACATAACTTCTTCTAACAACTGTTTGTGACAACTCATCACCTTTGTTACTACCCTAATTTCAATAACACCTAATTTTCTTGACTGATTTTGTATTACGTAACTCCAATTACCAATCTTCACCTGTTTAGTTTAAATAACTATAACCAATTGTATTTTTGTTTGATAAACTTATTGTACACATACATACGAAATAACACACATATTTGCGATTGTACAGCTAAGAAAATGAATTCGCCAAAAAGAGACTCTTCGCTGATCTACGTGTTTTGTTTTCATTAAAAGCAGTTTTTCCATTATTTTTAAAAATGGTGAGGTAATAGCGCAATAGATCTAAACTAATTATTGATTATGATTGATGATTATGACCATTAGAATCTGAACTTGGTGTATTATGGGCACCAACAGATGAGCCACACAAAACCTCATCGTTTACTCCTGGGCTGAGATACTGACTGGGCACCCAGACCGAAGGTGGTCGTCTTAAAGGGTCACTCGCCCCCGACAGCCTTTAACTTGAAGTCTAATCCACAAGGCAGGGGGTTTCCGGTGACCAATAAAGATTCCTATGCCATTCAATCATCTCGGATTCTGGAGCCGACGTACACTACCCCATAGGTTTGGAGTTACGGTTTTCTAGCTCCCCTAAGCACCAGATTCGCATTCACCTCTTCACTTTTGTGAGGAACAACCTCGCCAAGTGAAGGCAGCGATGAATAGGATTTATACGACAAAGGCCATGAACGCGTAGCCACGTAAGAGCATTTCGAGAGGAAGGCCGAAGTCTACTCACCTTCAGACGTACAAGGCCGTTTATGGGGGCAACAATAAGTATAAAAAGTCACCAGTAAACAGTAACTCGCTTCATACTACAAGGTATTAAAAGAAGAAACTTCTAAACATTTCGCCAATAAACACATAAACATTTGATATATATATATATAACTTTGCTTAGAAAAACTACCCTTCTTTAAATCCGACTGATAGCTGCTGCCTTGACGTGGTGATCGGGCTTACATATCTCAATGACCCAACAAGTTACATTGGCTGAAACTATTGTTCCTGCAGGCGCTACCATGCCAGGAAGATTGTTAGGATAGCGATTAGACTAAAAGCAGTTACCGGCATAGTGTAAGTTTTTTTACACTATGCTGGTAGCATGTGGGCAAAGTCATACTGCTAGGGGACAGGGATGTAACAGCAGTAAGCTGTTTCCTTCAGATGACTAGCATACCAGCTATGCTGTCTCATCACTCTGCAGAGAGGAAGGTTAGAAAACGTCAGCCCCAAAAGTTGTACATCCCAACTTGCCCCACAGTGATCCGTAGCCGGCGATAAGTTACTTATACGGAACCAATCCAAGATCAGTTAAGCTCAAACCGGCCTAAAGCAGTTTTCCTCCGGGGCTCTGTGGTCACGCAAAACTAATTGTTTCTGTTTCACATACATAGTAAATAAATAGAATACTGTATCTATCCTCTCTAAGTGCAAAAAGACAGGCATGATTTGATTTGGAATAATTTCATAGGACTCCCTGTGTCTGATCGGTTGTTGAAGGTCAACTTTTGAAAGACTTTAACTTTGGCTATGATACTTTAACTCCACCGATGAGCATGCCTAATATTCCATTCACAAGCATTAGTCTTCATCAAGCAAATACTCTGAGAATTACAAAAATGTCAAACGGTTGTTTTCACCTAAAAATCCTTTGTATTCAGCACTTAGAATGCAAGTAGTAAGACAGAAAAGCAAATAATGACGAAAACTGAGTGAGGGTGTCAGCTGAGAACTCTCAAACTTAACGCATATAGGAGACATAAGCAATACTAAAAACAACAGAACTCGCCTAAATGTAAACCATTGTAAAAAAAATATATTTAAAAGTAGTTTACCTCGGTGTAGTAGTGCTGATACGCTTTTTTGAAGCCAAATACACCATTGCCCCTGTGGTTAATGAAAACAGAACCCAAATAACAACAAATCTTGAAAAGTCCGCGAATATGCTGTATATAAATGGCACTAACCACATGGCAATGAGTGTTACGAGTTGGTAGGATCGAAAGTGACGCTGTTTCCAAAACATAAGTCCCATCTGACAAACCAACAGACTGAACACTGCCACCAGAAACATCTCAAGATGCATTTTTTCATGACCTCTGTGTTTCTCATGATATTTTAAATGTTCTATTCTAAAATAAATTCCGCATATATCACAAGACAGGATACATACCTGAATTTCTCTTCTGCAGAAAGTTCTGATAAGCGGTATGTCTAAGAAGTGACTATTATTTCTAAACAATTAACATGCATACAACATTATTCAGGACAACGACGTCAGGATCACCATCCATCCAAATGAATTCAAATGACTGGTGCGTGAAGGTCAACCTAGGTACAACACCGAATAATATTTGCTTTAGATTAAGTTATGAATTCAATGTCCAACATATCCAATATCCAATATCGTTTTTACGAGCTAGTATAAACCAATTTGATTTCTTTGTGCTCGCCTCTTGATTGTGAGGTAGAGGTTCCTGATCTTCGGTAAACGTCTGCGTAGCTCGTCCCGCCACTCGACTGTCGTAGCTTTGGTTGACTCCAAAAGGAGTAGTGCAGGGATTAATTGTATGTGGTTTGTAGAATGAGGTGTGTTAAGACTATTACTACTGTGAATGGAGTTGATCCTTTCACCAGTTGGTCCTTCGGTATCGTCGTCAATAGAAAAGAGATAATAATAATAATAGATATAATTAGTGAAGGTATTCAGACTAGCAGACAGAGAAGGAATAAGAAAACGTAACAACAGTCAGTCAACCGGTATATATGTATATACCGGTAATAATGATAATAATAATAATAGGTGTAGTTAAAGCTGTCAGGAGAGTAAGACGGAAGAGAATGTAAAGAAGTAAAACGACCAGTTTAGTTGTCTACCCTTGAATGGCGTATGCGATTTTAAGGGGATAGGCCATTTGGATGCAGTCCTTGTGTCGCTGCATGGTTGTCCAGCCTTCGCTTAAAGGCGTCCACAGACGGTGCCATAGCTACATCTGCCGGTAAGGAATTCCAGGGATGGCAAACCCGCAGGGAGAAGAAGTGGGAGCGCACCCGGGTCCTTGCCCTCTGGGGTCTTAATGTTGGGACTAGTTGGCCGATTCCGCTGGAACCGGCCCGTTGTGGTTTTTTCCATGGATTTAGGCAGGACACTTGGTTGACAAAGACTGTTATTCCCAGAAATGCATCGCTCTAGTGTCACTGAAGCTTGGGGCCGTATTAAAGCCTCATTTTGCTGCCTCCTTATGGTTCGAGGTCTGCTTTCGCAGCATCGGATGTGTCCTCCCATTTTCCCCTTGATCTCATACCACCGTTGAAGTGCTATGGCCAACTGCTCTGGGGAGTTGAATGTGACACTTAGCAGCTTTGGGGAGCTAATCAGTGTGAGATGAGTGGGGCGAAGTAGTCAAGAAATGGAGATGGCTCCAGAATCACCAAGGGCCATCTGAGACGACAGCTATCTCCACTGCTGTACGTCATGCATGTGTTTTTCACAGGCAGTGCCCGTTTCCAGCTCCGGAACACCGTGTACCACCATAGAGGTAGAAGGCATCAGTTCCGGTGACTCCCTCGCCATTTGTCTGATAGCCCATGGTCTGTCTTGTCTCACCCTTATGTTCGAACTTCTGTCGATGGCTAGTACCTGAGCCATCAATAGTACCTTTTCGACATCTTCGGCAGAGTCCAGTGTAAACCGTAATTGGGGTGGCTTACCTTGAGGTGTGTGAACAGCCTGCACAATTTCACTGAACTAATGTTCAGACCTAATTTATTGCACAGGTTGGACCACTGTTCCTGATCAAACAGGGCCCGCTGTTCAAGCAAGCTGTCCTTGCTCACAGGTACGTTAAAGATGATGAGAGAATTAGACCGATTAACCTCAGACTTAGGTTTGGCCTTTGGCTTCTTGTATTCCTTTGCAGCATCGGCATCTTCAGGCCTCATCAGGTTCTGGCCAGCCTTTGTTGTGTTGCCGAGCTTGCTTGTGGATGCAAGTGGTGCTTTTCTAATTCTCTTTTCCCTTGATTTTGAATCTTTACCTTATGAAAATTGGCATTTTCAGTCAGTAGGACTGGAGTGTCCTTCTTACTGTCTGTGCCACGTTTTGGCAGTGTGATGTTAGCAGGTGGGGAGCTGCATAAGACTTTGTTGGGACACAAGAGCGACTTGTTGTTTCTGCTATCCGCAGACACGCTCTGTGGGACTATGCTAGGGCGACAAAGTGGACAGATGTACCAAAACCACGGGCACGGGTTATTTCTCATAAACTCGTAGTATGCTTTCGGCACAACGGCAGTGCACCCACCGTTTGCAATAATTGCATTCAAACGCTGAGTCAGCTTTAGAAACTGTGATACTACACGCCTGGCATTCGTCTCCCTTACTTGATGATGGCTTCGAGGTCTTATGACGTCTTGAGCGTTTCCTTTTAGGTTTGCTGTGTTTCACACACTGGCTTTCAGTTGATGCAGGTGTAGTATCCTGTCCCCCTAGTATTGCCTGTGCCATTTCAGTACTAGACTGTGGCAATGCAGGCGTAGTTTCAGGACAGACGAGACTTACACGAGTCTTTAGGACCGGTATGCGGGAAGGGGTTGGTGTCCTTGGGTTTTTGCCTTCTCTGGCTGAAGCCCTTGTGACTACAGAGTAAGTTGTTTTAGTGCCATTTCTAAGGTTACTTTCGACAGCCATATTAACCATCACTAAAACTTATGCTGTATAAGAATAAGAGTGCAACAGTATCTACCCACAAGAACAAAAATAAGACTGACAAAGTACAAGACAAGGAAAAGAAAAGGTTTTCGACTTCACCTAGTACTTTCTGGATGATCGGCTTCACAGCAATCACGTGGTAGACCAACAAGTCTTGTTTATCTGAACGAGTGAGGAAGATGCTGCTACAAAAATAGCACCTGAAGCTTTGGCAGTAGTTCGAGACAGCTGGACTTACCACACAGAGATTCAATATGTGAGTAATGGTTGAATTTAATTCACCGGCTAGGAATATCAGGTTTCCCAAGCGGATAATTCACAAAATAGGTATTTTCCGGTTAGAGAGGAAAACGCACGTCGTATTCAAGGAGCGCGCGCTACATCACATAATAATAGTAATATATATTTCGTATAAACGGGTAAGTTTACATGAAATTAAATGCATGCCATTTTTACAGGCACGATCAATTATGTTACGAATTACAATTGTGAATTAGCATACATTATCACTTTTTTTTAAAGTTCAAATTATTGAATTATAGTACAAGCAATCGGAACAGATTCTTATAATTGTTAATTTGTAAATCTTTCACGAAGGTCTCCATCGAAGTTGAGCGACAACCCAAACTTCGTTCCATTTCCTAATGATAGTTATGGCCCATCGATAAACAACATATATTTGAGTGAGTACTGTGACCCCACGTGCTTGAACGCTATATCAGGAAGAGGAGAAAATCCTGCACAGCTATAAAGTGGTATAAAATGCAATCATGAATAATACATTATTGGAAGTATATTTACAAGAAAAATACAAGAATAAGCTATACAGTACTTGATATGATAGTGCACATTTGCAATGTATGATGCTAACCATATTGGTCTTACCGTGGAAAACTATGACGTTTTCTATGAAAATAAAGTTATTCTCAAACATGAGTGTTGTTTTTTATCATCAGAGCAACCGAACTTTATGCGAGAGAAGGGTGCAAATGAGAAAAAGGAAAATAAATAAATTTCAGCTTTATTAAAGTCCTAGGAAGTTGAGATAAAATAGAGTATAATAGTAATTAGGTAGAAGGATTATCGTGAAGTATATAAGTGACATTTCAGAGAGAAGTTGCTTGAAGGATTAGAACTTGTTGGATATGGTGACCTGTAGGATATCTGGTGAACTTGTGTATGATCCATGGGATAGCATCTTGACAAGAAACCGAGCAGGCTTGTAGATGTCAGGAGCGAAAGCATTATTTTTTTTACAAGCTAAATCTGAATAGTCATTATTGTTTCAGTTTTTTTAAAAATTTTTAAGGTCTAATTTTTTTATACATTCAGTATCTTAACTCACGTTTAATTCTCGAGCTGCCAAAATAATGCATGTTGCTGTCCTACAGATCGGAGCGATTCACATTTGTGACCACTACCAAATCTGCTGATCAGCATGCGCCACCCTCCCTCCTTTAGATCCGTCGCCGAGACAAGGCCGACTGTGATCATTAAAGTTATCCAGAGTCATCACAGAATTCAACAGAGACAGCCGAAACTGCCCCCGGTTGGTTCTGTTCTAATAAATGCACCCGTTCCCTTGCGGGTCAGGGTATAATTGCATGTATTATCTCTAGAATTACTACAGTTTTCCATGTAGCATATATGATCTAAGGAACCATAGCTGATTTAATGAGCCATTCGCGGTTTCACCATTTTAAGGTATGTACTTAGACATGCATGGCTTAATCTCTGAGACAAGCATATGACTACTGGCAGGATCAACCAGTTTACTCACACAGTGATACACCCATTGACTGGGTATTGGTTTTCAGGTGAACCAAACACACCCATCCCTGCCTCTTGCGAGACAAGAACGGCATGCAGGATCATCCTGTGGCGCAACCACTCGAGTGCCCTCTTCCTCGGTGGACCATTCGCACCTTTAGTATATTAATGATAGGTAAGCATTGTTATGCCGATCGTTGATCGCGTCAATCAATTATGCACTGCATAGACAAGCCCAATAGAACTCATCTCGCATACAAGACCAGCCGACTTGACTTCAAGCTTTATTTTTTCCCAAATATTTGTAATTTATCCGACACATACTTGGGTTTTTTTGTTAATGCGAAGACAATATTTCTATATTTCTTAATGTGCTCCATTGAACGACTAGCTATCAGATTGTACTCACTAACTAATGTCAGAGAGGACAGCAACCATGTAATTTCACTATAAATCAAATTCATGTAATTTAAATAATACTTAACCATGCCTGTACAACTGGTGTGTCCTACATAGATAGGAAATATATATATATGCAAAAGTAGCACGCATAGCAACGCCATAGTGACAATAGGCCCCTATAAACGTAGCCTGCAGCCACCAAATTCAATGAAATTGGTATCCCTGCCAACCAATTTAGCATGCAAATAGCTTCTAACCATACACAGTCATATAAGCGAGCAATGAGAGCTGGTCAACTCATGCTTATATCGCATATATAGCTAATGCTGTGTTTACTATAGGATTGGGTTTTAAGCTGACAGCCTAGCAAGGGCGCTGTAAGGCCTAGACAAGCTCAGAACCCTATGGTCATAGATACCAAAACGCGTTTCACGCATTCCTCTATCGAATGGATTCAGAATTTTTGTCAATGATAGAAGGCTTCAAGTCTCTTAAAAT